GCCAAAGAAGCCGGCAAAGACTCCCAATATTTTCCCTTCTGCTTAGAAACTTTGGAATTCAGAGTCACCTGGGGTGGGGGTGGGGGCTCAATTGGTTAAGCGACCAGTTTCAGCTCTGGTGGTGATCTCATGGTTGGTGGGTTCGAGCCCCGCGCTGGGCTGACAGCTCAGAGCCTGGAGCCTGCTTTGGACTCTATGTCTTTCTCTCCCTCTGCACCTCCCCTGACTGCGCTCTCTTGCTCGCTCGCTCTCTCTCTCAAAGTTAATAAACATTAAAAGATTTTTAATTAAAAAAAAGAAACTTTGGAAGCCAACTCAGGTGCCATTTCAAAATCTGATATGCTGGTGACTAAAGCTACACAGAAGAGCAGGTGGTGACGAGCGGCGTCAGGAGTGGCCTGTCCTATGACCTACAACTTTGATCACTTCCATGATCACAGAAGGCGCACCTCGCCCTAACCAACCACCTGCCCAAATCCAGCCCTGCCGACTAGGGAAACTTGGCAAGCCCGAGTTTTCTGGATGGAAAGGCCACTCTTACCTCGCTTAGAAAAAAGCATGTCAAGGTACCTGGCTTCCTGATGCCGGCATCACCTTTACTCGCCAGGCACAGATGATTGGAGTAGAGCGGGCCCAGAACCCCCCGCTGGAAGTGAATAAATCAGAGAGGAAGGCGAATGCGCTGCACTGTGCATTCCTCCGAGGCAGGGGCCGTGACTGCTGTCCTTCGGGTGGGAGGGCAAGTGCTGCCCTCACAGTGGGCATGGTGCCCAGAGGACTGGTGGGTTGCAGCCCTGGCCTGTTCTAAGGCGTGGGGAGGACGGGAGTCGGGGGTCGGCAGAAGTTGAGGCACACGAGCCACGCCGCTACTGAAATCCCCTTTAACGTTGCACGGCAGATCTGGAGGCGACAGCAGAACAGTGCGCGCACGGAAAGTGGGGAAGGCAGCTCCGCCTTCACCCCAAACGCTGCCCCCCCCGCCCCCCCAATCTCCGGGAGTCTGAGGTTCTCTGTGTCCACCGGGAAGGAGCCCACACTTGACGCAGGCCCACGGATGGGGGCGGGAGGGGGTGCGGACCTCAGAAACACCCCCGCGGACGGGTTCTTCTGAGCAGGGAAGTGGGCCGGGAACAGCGCATTTCCTGCTTCTCCGGTGCAAACCCCAGGCGGAGCCAAGCGGGAACCGGGTTACGACCGAGGAGTCGCCAGCTGCCAGGGCGGGGCTCGGCGGCGGCCTCGCGGGCTCCGCGCACCGCGGGGGGCGGGCGACCCGGCGCGGAAGCAGCTCGCGCGCCTCGCAGCCTCGAGCGGCACCGGTGTCGCCAAAGCCCTCTCGCTGTCGCCCGTTTTCGGCCCCAGCGACAACAGCCGGCAGAGCTGGGGGGGGGGGGCGAGGGCCAGATGCCAGGGCCGTGGGGGGCTCTGACCCCGGGAAGGGGCAGCGGAGCGCGTGGCCGCTGCCCCCGGGACACTGTGACCTCCCCACCCCTTCCATCCCGCCCGCGGCCCCACGGGGGCCCGGCCCGGGGACAGGGAGGAGACGCGCGAGGTACCCAGACGCTCGGCGCCACCGCCGCCGGGTGGGCGCCGGGGCTGCGCGGGGCGCGTCGGAGGCGTGGGGCGGCGCGGCCCTACCTGGGAGGTGCGGAGCCCCGGCCGCGCTCCGCCGCCGCACGCCGCCTCCCGCCGGCCTCCCGGAGGCGGCCGCGGGCGCGCGATTTATAAATGCAAAGGCCTTATTGTTGTGCTTTGTTCCGGGGATACCATTGTCTATTCTTGCCCGGGGCCGGCGGCGCGCACTCCCCTCCCCGCCCCACAAGGCCTCGCTCCCCCGAGCCAACCCGGATCCGTCCGCGTGCCCACGGCCTTCCCGGACGACCTGAAAGCCCTCGGTCCGGAGGCCGCTCCCCGGGCTTCGAGAACACAGCAGCCTGCGGGAAGTCGCCCAGCCTTTGCCTGCTCCCCGGGGCTGAGCCGCAGCTCGTCACCTACCCGGGTTCACTTCTGCGCCCGCTGGCCCAAGGCCCCGAGTGGCAATGGGGCCAGTCGCTTCCTCGCCCAGCCTTTCGAGCCTCGAGCTGGCCTGGGGACCGTGAGTGCAATTAGTAGCCGGGAGCCCAGAGAGCCTGGACTGTGCAACGCAAATGCACCGGGCCGGCGAACTCGTTTGTCATTCCCTCCCCCCCCCCAACATCCCTCCCCCCCCCCCCCCCCCCCCCCCCCAATCTCTCGTGTTGAGAAAAGCAAGGCTCGCAGGAAACCACTCCGGATGTTTGCTGCTTTTCATGTGGCATTTGTGGCTGGCTCTGATAACGTCCAGAGCTAGACNCCCCCCCCCCCGAATCCCCCGCGTAAATCTCTCGTGTTGAGAAAAGCAAGGCTCGCAGGAAACCACTCCGGATGTTTGCTGCTTTTCATGTGGCATTTGTGGCTGGCTCTGATAACGTCCAGAGCTAGACTTCCAACCCCGCGTTGAGTAAAGAGACCGAAATAGAAGAGTCCACACGCACCGCGGACGCCCTCCCCCCAAAATACGGGACAAGTGAGTGATCAGAAGAAATTAGATGTAGGCGATGGTAGGTAAAAGGGACTAGTCTTGAAAAGGCACCATCATTCCTAACTGGCAATTACTTTATAACTGCCAGGGAGAGCATTGTAAGAAGTAGGGGGAGGAGCGCAAGATCGGAAGGTCCGCTCCATCCCAGGGATGCTGTGCTGTCGTTTGATTTCTCAATAATCGAACCCAACACAAGCAGTAGTCTGTCTCCAGGAACAAGTGCAGATAATAATGGATTCTTCCAGACTGTCTCCCCCATCGGTTTCTCTCAACGGCCTCTCCCTGGAATGGTGTGGGCCAGAAAAAATACAAAGTCGAAGAAAGTGTACAAGGGTAAATCCATGCATATACATTTTTTTGGACTCACACTTGGATTGAATTTCCTGTACCCAGTTTCATTATTATTATTATTATTAAAATAACTAATCAACTAGATTAATCTAGGCAGATAAAACAGTTTCTGGAATGGACATTGTCTTTGTGTAGTTTTTCGATCTCTAGTCTAAGGAAACTCCCTTGAGTTCATAAAAACTCTTGAGCCCATAGAAAATCTGTCTTGAGATCTTTGCAAAGATATTTAGCATTATCCAGAAAAATTAGAGATCTCCAAGAAAACAAGAAGCAAGGGGCTATAGGTTGAGTTTATTCTTTCTACTCCTATAGTTTCCTTATTTATCTAACCATTTCCAATGCAGTTATGCTTAGTTTTCAAGGCCATATTTATTTCAGAAAAGATAAAGCTGTAAACGAAAGGCACACAATCAGTTAAATTTGTTTAAGCCCAGCTGCTTCAAACCACCCATTAAAAAATAACACTTCTCTATGATTTTCGTAAGCAAATTAAATTTTTTTTTCCCCTGGGGTGAACCTCAGAGACCCAGGAAGTGGAGCCATTTTCTTAATTTTTCTGGTGTCTGAAGACTGGCTGGTGACGGTGACGGAAGGCAGTCAACACTTCACAGATCATCAGAGTCAAAGTAAAGATGGCTTAAAACGGGTGAAGGAAGTTGGGGAGGGGCGGAGGTAGCAATGGCAGAGAAACTCAAAACCAGGGCTTCCTAAGGCATCATGTTCCTCAGTTTTTGTGGCTGCTACTAAGAAGCAGACTTGATAGATGACCTTGTTACTCTAATTTCACACAAAAAGCTGCAGATTTACCTCCCAGATCCCGGATGTAAGCCTCAGCTGTCATCACATCGTCACAGTAAACAAAGAAAAACTGTCCTGGAAATTGATGTAGTCATTTCTTTGCGAAGTTATGGAATTGTGTAGAAACGGCTGTTACTTGTCTTCAAAAACACCACAATTACACAAACACAGTTTGGTTTAGCGATTAAGAGCGCAAAATCAGGGTGGACTCAGGCACCTGAATTCCACTCCTCAACGGCTGTGATCTGAGGAAAGTTCCTTAACCTCTCTGTGTCTCAGGGTCCTATCCTGAGGATACAAGTGTCTACCACACAGAGTTACAAGGATGAGCTAGTTTGCAAAGTGTGGAGGCGTGTGTCATACAAGTGTAATGGAAGGGCTTGTTGAAAGCTGAAAAGGTTTCAGATTTAAACGCAGGTTTAATCCTCATTCAGATTTTCATTTCAGACTAAAGAAACGTCTAGGAAGGAATCCCCTAGGAGCTACATTTACCTTGCTGTGCAAGGGATTGCTCTTTCCTCTCTAAACCGGGCATTTAGATAAATATTGCCTCTAGTGTTAGCCTCTCCTACTGAACACGTATGAAAATCTTTATGTTTCTAACACATTTCATGCACGGATAATTTGCAAGGGTGGCTTCCTCGTTATGAATAAAGGTTTTTAATTCCCTGGGATGACTGAATATCGGCTACAGAATGCCATTCCGTATTTGATCTTGGTTTAGCAATTAGAATTTACCTCGGACGTGGTATCTTGAGTGTAATAAACACAGTATGCAACTTGAATCCTTTGGGAGGACTTTTTAAAAAATTTATTTATAAACTTTTAAAATTTATTATCGACAGTCCGCACTGCATTGAAGAAAACACATGTGAAGAGGACCCCGGTGGGGTTCCCTGGATGATAGCTAGGTCACCAGCACTGAAATCCGTAGCTCCTAGAATAGCGTATGCTGAGTTTGTTCATCCCAAGGACCGCGGCCAAGTCCTTCTACCCAGCGGTCCAGTCGATGTTCCAGAAGGTTTTTCAGGAGTCCCTCTTCCCGAGTCGGAGGGAACGCGGCGCCAGAGCCCGGCTTCAGCCAGTTTCCCCAAGGGGCAGGTGTAGCCTTGGGCGCGGGGCCGGGGGAGGGGAAGGGGCGGGCGGGCGTGGGGTCAGCCGTGCCCGGGCCCGCGGCGGCCGGCTGGGCGTGGGCCTGCGGACGCCCGCCCGGCCCGCCCCCGCCTCTCCATTGGCCAACAACAGCGCAGAAAAGGGCGCGGGGCGGCCGCCGGGTCACTCGGCCGGCGGGGACGCGGTCTGCGCGGTGGCCTGCGACCGCCTGCAGCCTCCGCGGCGGGCTCGCGCCCGGGAGCCTCGGGCCGCGCACCGGGCGCCCCCGTGCCACGCTCGCACCCCTCCCCCGCGCCGGGGGCGGCGGTGTGTCCGGCGGGGGGCTGTGGGGCGAGGCGCAGGGCTGGAGCGCCATGAGCAGCCCGGATGCGGGGTACGCCAGTGACGACCCGAGCCAGCCCCGCAGCGCGCTGCCCGCGGTGATGGCCGGGCTGGGCCCCTGTCCCTGGGCCGAGTCGCTGAGCCCCCTCGGGGACATGAAGGTGAAGGGCGAGGCGGCGGCGAGCGGCGGGGCGCCGGCCGGGGCGGCGGGCCGCGCCAAGGGCGAGTCTCGCATCCGGCGGCCGATGAACGCCTTCATGGTGTGGGCGAAAGACGAGCGCAAGCGCCTGGCGCAGCAGAACCCCGACCTGCACAACGCCGAGCTGAGCAAGATGCTGGGTGAGTCGGCGCTGGGGCCCCCGGGCGGTGCGAATCGCGGGGCGCGCCCCCGGCTCCTTCCCCGGGGCCTCGGCTCCCCTCCCGCGTCCCCTCTCCGTGCTCTCCACACGGGTTCTCTGTCATCCGTGCGCGGGTGACCCGGGGGGGCGCGGGCTACAACGACCCTGGGGCGGGGGGGGGGTGGCTTCCCCGCGCTTCCCGGGCGCGGCCGGGGTACCCCAGGAGCCACGCCAGGTCGGTCCTTCCGCTTCCCGGCTCCTTCCCCGGGCAGGGGACGTTTGCAGTTCTTTGCAAGCCTGGGTGCGCGTGAGCTAGGACTCGCTTCCCGGAGGCAGGGATGCCCTCAGCGGAGCCGACACCGCCCGGCCTCCCCAGGCGTTCGGCCTCCGGGGTCGCAGACTTTGCCTCCTCCAGACGCGGCGCGAGGGCCGCAGGTCGGGCCGCCCCCACGTAGGGGCCTCGGGGGGCGGGGGCGCAGAACGCCCGCCCGACGCCCCGTCGCCCCTTCGGTGCCCCCGCAGGCAAGTCGTGGAAGGCGCTGACCCTGGCCGAGAAGCGGCCCTTCGTGGAGGAGGCCGAGCGGCTGCGCGTGCAGCACATGCAGGACCACCCCAACTACAAGTACCGGCCCCGGCGGCGCAAGCAGGTGAAGCGGCTGAAGCGGGTGGAGGGCGGCTTCCTGCACGGCCTCGCCGACACGCCGGCGGCCGCGCTGGGCCCCGAGGGCGGCCGCGTGGCCGTGGACGGCCTGGGCCTGCCCTTCCCCGAGCAGGGCTTCCCCGCCGGGCCGCCGCTGCTGCCCCCGCACATGGGCGGCCACTACCGCGACTGCCAGGGACTGGGCGCGCCCCCGCTCGACGGCTACCCGCTGCCCACGCCGGACACGTCCCCGCTGGACGGCGTGGAGCCCGACCCGGCCTTCTTCGCCGCGCCGCTGCCCGGGGACTGTCCGGCCGCCGGCCCCTACAGCTACGCGCAGGCCGCGGACTACGCGGGGCCCCCCGAGCCGCCCGTGGGCCCCGTGCACTCGCGGCTCGGCCTGGAGCCGGCGGGCCCCGCCGGGCCGGGCCCCGTGGCGCCCCCCAGCGCCCTGCAGCTGTACTACAACGCGATCGGCGCGCCGGCGGCGGGGGGCGCGCGCGGCTTCCCGCTGCAGCCCCAGCCGCACCCCGCCGGCCCCGGGCAGCCGTCGCCCCCTCCCGAGGCGCTGCCCTGCCGCGACGGCGCGGACCCCGGCCACCCCGCCGAGCTCCTCGGGGACGTGGACCGCACGGAATTTGAACAGTATCTACACTTTGTGTGCAAGCCCGAGATGGGCCTCCCCTACCAGGGACACGACCCCGGTGTGACCCTCCCAGACGGCCACGGGGCCATCTCCTCGGTGGTTTCCGACGCCAGCTCCGCGGTCTATTACTGCAACTACCCGGACGTGTGACGGTCCCCGGTGCGACCCAGCCTGCAGGCCAGCAGCACAGTGTTACACACACTTCCCGGAGGAGCGAAGGAAATCCTCGGCCTCACGTTGTTGTGTTTTGTTTTTTAAGTTGCCTAGGCATATAATTTATGGTAATTTATTTTGTTTGCCACTTGAACCGTTGGGGGGGGGGGGGAGAAAAACGGTGAGGTTTGTTTTCAGATGTGTTCAGATACGCGCTTCCCACAGTCGCCTCGTCGAAGCCCGGTTGCCTGGTTCCAGCCGACCAGTTTTGAATACGTCCCCGAGTCACTTGCTCCGTTTTCTGAGAAGTTATTGATCAAAACCACTTTTGTCTTGGGTGTGTTTTTCAATCTTTAAAAAAAAAAATAAAATCTGGAATCTTTTTTTTCACTCTGCTGGTCCCTCTGTCACAAAAGCCAGTTTTTGAGATGAATGTTAAGTACTGGCAGCATTGGAAACATGTTCATGATAATTTAATATGTAGCTGCGGCGAACCTCTCCTCTTATATTGGTAGAACTGAGTTTAAAGGCTAGAGACTTAGAAAAGAGGAACGTTTGGTGTCTAAGGCTTTGGTTTTTGCAAGGACAAAAACCTGAAATGAGCCTGTGTCCTGCATTTCCGTGACTTTAGCTTCTAAAAAGTAATGGTTAATCTTAACACCGCAGGAATTTTAATTTTTAGTATATCGCTTTCACCAGACGGGAGCATCCAAGTCATTTTGGTTTTCGAGTTGACTCTTGAGAGCTGCCCAAAGAGGTTTTTGGATTTTTCTTCGTCTACATTTTCCCAAGAGTTTGTACACTCCCTCAACCCTGAAATTGCCAGCCCTCACATGTCTGCGCCTTGGGAAGTAGTGTTGCTGGGTTAAAAAATAATTTGAAGGAGTCACAAGAAGGAGTCAAAAGAAAATGCACATTGTGACCTTAACTTTTTTTTAAATTTATTTTTTTTTTAAGAGCATGAGCAGGGGGAGGGGCAGAGCAAATCCCTAGCAGTTTCCCCCGAGGTTGGTGCCCAGCCCCCCAGGCCCGGCCCCATCCTACCAATCCCGAGATCCTGACCTGGGCCGAGATCAAGAGTGGGACGCTTGACCGACTGAGCAACCGAGGTGCCCCCCCCCCCGCCTGCCCCGCTTGAAAGTTTATTTAGCATCATGACCTTAACTTGTAATGAAACTCCCGGTCTATAATTTTAATAGGATATTCTAGAAGTCGCGTGCGTGGTGCATAGCAGGTTCTAACACAGCAATTCTTTAACTTTAGAAACATCCAGGGAGGATTGTAGGTACCTTCCAAGTACCACTAAGCTACAGCCCTAGGCTGTCCCTGTCCTGCCCTTCTAGGGAAGAAACAGTCACAGGGCTGGAAAGTCAGGGGTGAGCCCCCCCCCCCCCCCCCCCGTGCTGCGGCACTCTCTACAGTGGCCCCACTGGCTTTGCAGAGTGACACGTAGTGGGTGGATGCAGAGGACTCAAGGGGCATTTCCTGCGCTGGGCGATTCGTCAATGCCATTTTGTACCAGGTCTGAGCCTGATCAAGCCTGTGAGCTGCAGTGCGGCCCCCTCCCCTCCCCAGGGAGGAAAGTGGGCACTGCAGGCTAGTAATGTGATGAAAGACGGTGACACGTGACCTTAAAACCTGTTTGTCCACTGTTTTTCTTTGTGCCAGGCTGTATCTGTGGGCACTGGAGGAACTTGCACGCTGCTGGTGAGAAACTTTAATTCTCCACGCTGGTAAACGCTATAGAGGAAAGGACGGGGTAGAATCGCTTAAAGCATTTATTTTGAACCGGGATAGCTAAGCTGAAGCAATTGGCTGGGTTCTTCTGAGAAATGGCAAGGGGTATGTTTACCAGAAAGGGCCCCTGGATGTTAGGAATGTTCAGGACAGAAAGCTTCAGCAAGGAAAGGGGAGTCTATTTTGTTAGGCACAACAGAGGTTACGTTAAAGATTTGAAATTCTAGGGTGAAATTCTAGGGGTGCCTTACTTGGTGAAGCCTCCAACGTCTGCTCAGGTCATGGTCACCCAGTTTGTAATTCAAGCCCCATGTCGGGCTCTGTGCTGACAACTCGGAGCCTGGAGTCGGCTTCAGATTCTGTGTCTCCCTCTCTCTCTGCCCCTTCTCTGCTTGTGCACTCTATCTCGTACATGTGCTCTCTCTCTCAAAAATTAAAAAAAAAAAAACATTAAAAAATTGAAATTCTGAAGTTTCCTCCTGGGTTATATCTACCATCTAATCCAATCTATTTGCCTCTAGTACTTTACCCTTTTCCACATTCTTTATTCCTCTGACCCTAGACAGGTTCTGCTTCAAGTCTGAGTTCCTTCCCAGATGTCCCCAGTTCCTAGTAGATGAAGTGGGCCTCACTTGCTCGGATTCAAGGCCATGTCTCCAGTTGAAATCACACCAGGCATTTTAGCACATACGTGGCCCAAGGAGACTAAGTTGGACCTTTGGCTGCTACGTCTCACAAAATTACAAAAGACAAATAGGGAAAAGAAGAAAGGAGAAAAGTAGAGTGGGGGGCGGGGGAAAGAATCAAAAGTCCTGGAGCGCCTGGGTGGCTCAGTTGGTTAAAACTGTGACTTTGGCTCAGGTCATGATCTTGTGGTTTGTGAGTTCGAGCCCCACGTCGGGCTCTGTGCTGACAGCTCAGAGCCTGGAGCCTGCTTCCGATTCTGTGTGTGTGTCTCTCTCTCTGCCCCTCCCCTGCTCGCATTCTGTCCCTCTCAAAAATAAATAAACATTAAAAAAATTTTTTTAAGTCCTGTTAAGTTACATTCTTAACTATTTACCAAGTACAGGTGGGAAAATATCAAAAAATGTTTAGGCAAGTCCAAGGCCTTTAACCCCAACAAAGAAGAAAGCTCTCACAATAATTCTTGGGAGCAGAGGCGGGCAGCCCATTCCTTTTCTTCCCTCAGGCAGACTCAGATGAAGTGGTCTCCGGTGCCAGCTATGACTGCTTCTAGTACACGGGGCACACAGGGCACTGCACTAAGCGTCAAACTCGTGTTTCCAGCTCAGGTCTAGCTCCCAGGGCCGTGGGACCAAGCCCCATGTTGGGATCTGCGCTGAGTGTGGACCCTGCTTGGGCATCTCTCTCTCCCTCTGCCCCCTCCCCTGCTTGCACGTGCACATGCTCTCTCTCTGGGGAAGAAAAGAAAAAAGTGTAGAAACAAATACATAAAAGGTTAAAGACACCTTGCTTCCCTCCCAACCCCCCACTGGGGAGATATGTCAGGAGGTAAAAATGCAGGGCCATGCTCCTGGCACTGCAAGCATTCTTCGAGGTCTTGCTAATCTGAATTCACCCTAGATGATGGGCTGAGGAAAGCTAGGAAGCTCTTTCTCAGAAGCGAGCAGGTGCGCACACACACACACATTTTAGACATAATTTTAGGCAGTTCGTGACCCCGGGCAACCCATCCAAGGTTGTGGGAATCTTAAGTCCTCAGATTTAAAAACCATGATGGTGATGTTTTGGTGGAAAGCATGGCCTCCAAACATCGAAGCAAAAAAAAAAAAAAAAAAAAAAGTTTCCTTTTATTTAAAAACACAAAGAGAGGTGTCAAGAACTCCTTCATGCTACTGAGTTACTTGAGATATGTGAATCAAGGAACATGGGGGGCGGGCGGGTAGGGGGTAGGGGTATGTCTCTTTCTCAAAGTAGAAAAGAAACCCACGAGGCGCCGCCCACATGAATGGATGAGTTTGCCTTGGTGCATGGTGGTGGCGGTAGCGGGTCCCCAGGGTTGGCCTCCATGACCTTACCTTGGGTTTTATATCCTTGTATATAAACTGCTTGTATGACCTGGGTGGGACTCGACACTCTAACCCAACAGAACCCAGCAGAAGCGATGCAGTGTCAGCTGGAGGACCATCCCCTGTGATAGCCCAGCAGGCAGTCTCTTGTACTCCTGGGAGCTCTGACTACTGGGTAGTGCAGTTACCAGGGGGTGAGACCATTTGGAGAGACCACTGGGGAGGAGAGGCCCTGTGACGACCCCTCCCCCCGCACCGGTCGATGTTAGCGAGCTCGGTCTTACTGGCCGCATCTGACTATGACTTAAGGGAGGCCAGAGGAACGAATGCCAGGAGGAGCTCCAGCAATCGACAGGTGGCAAAGATTTAGGAAAAATGGTTTTCGCGCACTACTGAGTTCTGGGTGAGCTTTGTTGTGTAGCAAGAGACGATTCAAATAGATGTTAGAGTTAAATAACCCTTTCTTATTGTTAACTACAGGAATGTGGACCCTGGTGGGAAAACCAAGAAAAGAGCATCAGGGCCTGTCAGAGACACCAGTATAGTTTTTTTTTTTTTTAATATTTTTATTTATTTCTAGGAGAGAGAGAGAGAGAGAGACAGCGTGAGAGGGTCAGAGAGAGAGGGAGACACAGACTCCGAAACAGGCTCCAGGCTCTGAGCTGGCAGTCAGCACAGAGCCCGATGCGGGGCTCGAACCCACGAACCGTGAGATCATGACCTAAGCGAAAGTCGGATGCTTAACCGACTAAGCCACCCAGGCACCCCAACACCAGTATAGTTTTAATGTGAAGGATGGAATGTATGTAAAACTTGGACACCTCTGTGATCTCGCCCAAGGCATAGAACCTTCTTCCCTCAAGCGACTCAGTGAAGTGACCACAGATACGAGCTAGAAACTGGTCTGTAAAAAAATATTAAATTCGTCTCAGTTCTTGCGATTTAATTTTGGAAGCAAATACTTAAAGGATACCTTGCTTGCCTCGAATCCCCACTCCCCACCCCTGCCCGGCTCCTCCTTACTTCTAGGTACTTTAGAAGTATGTCAGGAGGTAGGAATCCAGCCCTTTTATGAGCTGGGATATCCTGACTTGATGCCAGCAGAGTCTACACACCTTTGGAGACCCAGATAAAAAAAAGGAAGAGGGTCTTTTCTTTCTCACTGAGATGCTGACCACACCTCTATTAAGGCTACCAGGGTGGGTGTAGTAAATTACCAATAAGTTGTTACTTATTGAAGCAGCTAATAGATGCTATCACAACGAAGCTTTATCTTTCACTTATTCTTCTCTCAGAAGATTGTTGTACCTTTCATTGGAATCACACTGCAAAAGACATCATCAGCTTGTTCTTTACCAGCTTGCTGATATCAGAGAAGGCATCTACAAGCAAAAGGAATTCAGAACACACACAAAGGGGGTGTCATGAGCCAAAATATATCGTTCCTGTCTAACATTTTAAAAGGTCCCATTTCATTTTGTTTTTAATACTCAGAATTGTATGTCATATAATTGATGTTCAACATTCCCTTTCTCCCCCATCTCCCCTTTGATTCGTTTTGACAATGCTGGACACGAAGAGAGATTTTACATCCATTATGCGAGTATGGATTTATTCTTCCTG